TGATCCTTGCGCCGAAGGCTTTCCCTTAAACACCATTCTGGGAGGGCTTTTAAACCGAACTAGGCCAGGCCCACTAGGATGATTAGTCTGACTTGGTTCGCCCAAAATAGCCAGTTCCAAATCCCTCCCCTTCAACTTGAACCGATGCAAAACTGCGCCTGCTAAGTGGTCTAAAAAGGACTTTTCATCCGCTACTTCCAGGTTTTTTAAAATTTGAAAAGATTTAAACCCCATTCTCGAGTCAGTCCRGCCTGCCTTTCCTTCTTGACCGTTCGATCCAAAGTCCATTGGTTCTGATGTTTCTTACTTCTCCTTCCCCTGACTATCTGCCAACCATCTTCTTCTCCAGCTCTAGCACTGCTATGAGCCCTAGAAACTTCCAAAGTGGTTGAACACTCCTCCGCTTGCTTCTCTAAGCCATCGGAGTTTTCCAACCTCCCTTTGGTGTCGTCGGGAATGGAGAAGCCTGCCAGAGCTTGCTGAATCAGATTCTGCTCAACTTGCACTGCTTCAGCAAAATCCGCCTGCACAGGCATCTTTTCCGGCTTTATCTCTGGCCAGATTGTAACCACATACAGTGAATTACCCACTACTACATTAATCGTCGGGGGAGGTACCCTTGACCAGTGCGCTTTTACCCGAAAAAACTCTGCACTACCTTTACTAGCTTTAGAGTTATCGGTTTCCAAAAAGTCTCCGCAGAGGTACCCTATGCCTCTGGCAAGATTCGTGCTCCCAAGGTGTAACGGCAAACCATAGACCCTTACCCACACAAAACCAGGTATGTCCTTGGAGGATTGCCAAGTTCCAGACGAGTCTGACCAATGTTCGAGGTGCAACAGAGAACCTTTGAAACATCTGGAGCCAAAGTTCACCACTCTTCTAGCGTCTTACTGAGAAGGGAGGAGGAAGAGCCAATACTTGTCATCAAGCCTACGCACCTCAATGCCTTTCGAACAACCCCAAGCTTTAGACACCCACTGACCTACCTTCTCCACCCTCAAGTCTTTCCAGTCAAAACATCCGACCAGGCACACCTAAAGAAAATCCTTCCGCCTTTCCACTCCTCCGGCATCTACTTCCAGGAAAAGGTGTCGCTGGTTAGCTTTAATGCTCACCTTACCTTCTGACGGCCAAACCCAAGGGTAACCATTCTTTCCGGCCTGTCCCTCCGTCTCTCTTGAGGGAAAGCATTCCCGCTTCTGATCAAGATACCCTGGTCCCATCTTTTGACAGTGGCGAAACTGCGAAAGCCATTCCTTTCAGTAGGCTGCCGCCGGTGAGATCTTTTGCTGCCGACGAAATCCATCAACGCCGACGAAGTCACTTGTCAATTAACCACATGATTCTTGTTATTGAAAAAAARGATGGCAAAGCACTCCTTGTTTTACCTGTGCCATCAAGTGATGCAGATGCACAGGGATTRGGATCTATCAAACATGGACAAAGTGCTGGAGAACAAATTTATACTGAAAGCTGAAGTTTTTTTCCCGATTGGAGAAAACTGAACTCTTCATGAATTTGGAAAACCTCTCATTCCCCCATTCAACCTGGACCCCCCTTTCTTTTCAAAAGCAAATCTCATAGTGTTGAAATGTCACCCAATAGCCCATGGTTTCTCCCACCTTTCTCTAACTCCATTAAGTTCTGTCCATAAACTTTCCCTCGGTCTATCATCATTTGGGCCATAAATTGAAGTGAGAGAGAATTCCCATCCGTCCTCCAACACATAGCACCACAATGATATAGAGAATTGCCTCACTCCCACTAATGTGCCTTTCACCCCCACCACCTCTATATCCCATATAACTAACATACCCCTTGATGTACCCACAACCAGCAAAGATACCCAATCATAGTTATTATCTCCCCGGATGCTTCTGAAAGTTTGATCTTTCACAAGTTCCACCTTAGTTTCTTGTAAACAAAGAACATTTGCTTTTCATGTTTTCACATAAGAACCTGCCACCACTTTTGCRACCTAAACTTAGGCCCTAGATATTCCATGAGACTATCTTCRTGTCTGACCCTCGACTTGTGTCTAAGAAACAATTCCACCTTGTTCAGGGGAAAACTCCCCCCCCCCCTTTCCCTCTTTTCCATCCTTAGCCACTCCCTGCATTGTCATTTAACCCCCATGCAAACCTGAATAACTCTCTTTTTGAGTTTTCTTGCCCTTTCTGCCCTTTCCTCCAAAGTTCTAATAGGAACACAGGCCAGTCCATGAAGCTATGGCCTAGACACTCAGTCCAGCAGCCAGTGGTCTATCAGCCTCTTACATGTGACTTACCATCTATCAAACAAACATATAGGAGGAGATAATGTGAGACACCAACATCAACTGAGGCATCTCTGATTGGTGGGAGCAATTGAGGCAGCTACAACAATATCCTAACTGAATGAGTATATAAAGTGTTAGATGAGATTGTAATAATTTGAAGTGAGAATTGAGATCCTTCTCCCTTTCTTTCTTTCTTGAGGATGAGATTTCCCTCAAAGAAACCCTGTGATAGGCAGTAACCTATCACCTTCTCTCCACCTCCATTAAGAAAGTTATTGTTTCTTAACTCATTCCTCAAAGTGACACCCCTAAAAACGCACCTAAATGGTTCAGCATCAGGTTTGCCTTTCGTGAGTTCTGTCTCCACACTTCTGTTCTTTAGTCTTCCTTCCTGTATACTATTTGATGCCTCCCCCACCATAGGCCAATCCGCTGAAACCATGGCAAGAGGACTACCTCCAACATTTCAACACTACTTTCACATCTTCCATAACATCTCCTTGAATAACTATTGCCATTTTTGCTTCTTTCCACTCACTAAACCCCGTTGCCTATTCACTGATCACCATGTTCGCTTCTTGTAGTTGGGTACCATGGGTGCTTTCCCTTGCAGTATCATCACCTCCCATCAACAACTCATTGTGTTGCCTCCTTGTGAACTGCTCTGCTGACAAGGGGCTAAACTCTGCTGCTACTTCTTTGGATGGAGAAGTTAGAGGTTGAGATTGTGATGGARACCCCTCATTTGTCTAAAAGGGGGTTAATAGTCGTGGGCTGGTCTGAAAGTGGGTTGAACCAAGGGCTAAATTGAGGTTACCTGGTTCTTGGTTTGAAACCACTCTGTCCTTTAAAACATTGTGGCCCACCTCTTCAGCGCGTGGGAGATATTCCCCTTGTAATGCCACACCCCTGTTTTCTCCTGCCTACCCCTTTTCCACCGCACAATCATGTTTAACCAAATCTGTTCTTTGATTAGACTCCCTCATTAGCATTTGATCATTTTTGGTCCTACTCCCTACCCCCTATTCACCGAGTATCTTAACGCATTGTATGGAAAACCTCTTGACCAAGTGGTCTTCATTTAAAATTTGAAATCTATTCTCCATTTGAATTCCCTCCTGCCATACAAGTGTCTCAGTGTGGCAGGTCAAATCAATGGCTGTGGCTTCAACAGATCCATTGTACTTGATCCTTTCCACACCACCCTTGGCCTCAAAAGGCTGGACCCCTTCACTGTCCTCCTCCACTATCTCCGCTGTAGCTGTCCCATCTCCTCCTCCTTGCACACCTCCTTCCCTTTAAATCTTCTTCACACTTCCAAAGAAATGTCCATACCCGCAAATGACTTTCAGATCCATTCTTTCTCTACCCACACTAATTCATTATATTCATCTAGTTTTGCTCTTCATTCCAGGAGCATCTCCAGTCAAATCGTCACTTCTATCATCAAATCTCCATCCAACACCATTACAGAAGCTAGGGTATATCCATGCCATCTAACTCTAATACTGATCCACTCTGTTGTTTCTCTGGCCACCTCCAAGTTGTTGATTCCCAGGTAGCCTCCACAAATGTCCCCAATATTCTCCACCACCTTGGTACTCCAGAGGTGGAGTGGTAATCTGAAAATTCTTATCCAATATGCCTTCTTCACCCCTGCATTCCAACACAATTTCCCCATTTCTCAATGGACCAAGTGTGGTAACTCTCCTTCTATATTCCTGTCTCCAGTGGACCATACCCTTTTAGCTTCTTCCTCATTGGCAAAAATGAAGAGCATCCTCAATTCCGGCCACCTTCATAGCTTCAAGGCACCCTTCACCCTCCATCTTCACATGGTCCAGTTTCTAATCTCCCCTCTAGGCTCTAGCTTTCTTGTGGTGTTAACTGCRCTGACTAAGCATGTTTTTAAAAAATTCTCTCTTTTCTTTCTCCAAACCCCCTTGTGGTGATGTACATGCCTTTTATATTCCTATCATCACTTCTGCAATTCCTTCATCCACACTGAGGCACTGGCCACCTCTACATGGGTCCCATTGCTGTTGCTCTACTAATTTTTCCATACTAATGTTCTTACAAACCTCTGATGCTTCTCTCCTGTTTCAAACCCACCTGTTCTTCTAACCACCATCCTTCCTTCTACATTCCCATTATATCTCCATTTCCACTGGTCACTCATTGACATCAGTCGTGGTCATCGTTCAGTCATCTTTGCATCGGTCATTGTTCTAATCCAGTTTTTTCTATCCAAAAAGGAAAGGGGGGGGGGAATTTTATGKAGGTGCAACAAGAGCTGAGTTATAAAAGTGAAGTTGGGATGCAACTTGATAAATAATACCTTTCTCAGCCTTTTAGGCCCAGCATGGACTCAGTCTAAGGCCCTTAATAGAGGTGCTAAGCCCAGCCAGACCCATGATCACCCCTATTTTGAGCATGTGCATAGGAGACCTACTGCACCAATAAGAAGTGATTAGATGCAAGTTGAGGGTTCTAAAAGAGCTAAGGGAAACCAAGGACATTTATTGCAGCTGTAAGAAATGATTCAGCTTACAATTTGACAGAATCTGTGTGGCAACTGTATATAGTTGGGAAAAAGGCTTTTCTGAGTCAAGTTGAGCATTCAGTATTCACTATGGCATTTCTGTATTTATTCTTCACTGTCTTTATCATTGACAAAATATTGATGTAAGTTGTTGCTGTTTTTGTTTTTAATGTGCAGAGAGATCAAGCCAAGATGAACATGGAGTATCTCCTCCAAGGTATGGATTTTGATTCAATSTCTTACCTGTTTGGCCTTCTCATAGTGGAAAGAGTCTTACTAGTTACTTCTTTGTCATCATCTTTTTCATTTTGCCTTCTTGACAAGATACCAATTGGGAAGGATGGGCAAAGTTGTACATTGTTTCCAATGTACAAGGATTGCTGATAGGCTTCCTCTTTAGCTTTGTTGTCATTATCATCCCAGTATGAGGATTCAAATATAAATTTTTTTATATGAAATTTGGAGATAAAAGTGCAACAGGAGGCAAAAACTTGATCTATAAATCTGGAAGACATTTGATAATGAACGATTAAAAGATGAGGACTTGAACGTCTTTAATTTTCAATATATTAGGCTCCTTTGTTTGTAGTCTTGTCAAAAGATGCCAAGCCTAATACTACTTGTAGATAGTATCTTTTTGGATGCTGTTCAAGATGTTGTAGATCCTACAAACAGGACTCCTGCATAAACAGAATTTTCAAGACTGAGAAAGGAAAGATTCTTTGACATCTTGAAAAGTATGATGAAAACAAAACAGGATGGAAGAGTATGTGAATAGATGAGATATAGAGGGAGAGAAGTTTTAATGGGGATCTTAGGGTTTCTAAGTTAAATGATTTCTAGAGAGAAGTTTCTAGTCTGGGATTTTATAAGAACTAATTAAAATTGAACAAAAGGTGGARGAAATTACTTAAAGATGTGTAAAATCAATGAATTTGATGCCTTATAATAGATAGAATTACATTTCCAATCAATACTTAGATTAAACCTGTATAAGAAGAAAACTAGAGAAGTTAAAATATCAAAATAGTAAAAAAAAGAGAATAGTAGAAAAAGAGMGTTAAGGTGTTRGGGAAAGAACACAAACACAAGCTCCAATAACATCACATCCAATTTCTTCTTCCATCATGCCTCAAACAGAAAGATAACAAATTATTTAACTAGGAAATAGGGTGGCTTGAGTTCCTGTTCAGCATAATTATGAAATTGCCACTGCAAACCCAATTAAGAGAAAAAACACAGTAATTTCAAATTTCTCTGATACCAACTAGGAGTGGATAGGTCAACTTTTAGAGAGGAAGAAAAATGAAAGAACTTTAGAGGGGACGAGTAGTTGGGCCAATTGACCTATGTACTGTTATATTTAATAGTGAAGGGAAAAGTACAAAAGCACCATTGTACATAAAGTTATGTAATGCTACATCAACCCGTCATAGTTATCATTGTTGTCAGAAGCAGAGTTCCCCTAATGGTGTAAATGCATTACCATGTGTTCTTCCATGGAACATAACAGATGTCTAGTTTGTGAAAGTACTTCCAGAATCCCTTCACTACATTGAAGGGTTTGCAAACTCTCATGTAGAAATAATAKTGCATGCTCACCAGGGCCAGCAGCGAAGAACTTGATGACCATCCCAAGAAGGAAAAGCTGTTGTTAAAGAAAAAGGGAATAGGATCAGAAGCAAGGGCTGAACGTATGGTTGAAGCAGATGCAGACTTGCAGCTTTTGGGCCATGCTGAGCGAGTAAGACAATTGCAAAAACAGAAGAAACGAAGACTCCAGGGCCGTTCAGAAGAAGTAAGTTACAATAAATGATAAGAATACAAAATTACATTTGWTCTCGTTTTTCTGTTTCTTTTTTATGCTGCCTATTGGGCAAGTAAGAATTTTTAACTACTGACACTAGTTAGATTTGCTGAAGTTGTCTTTCTTGATTCAAATACGGCATCTCTCTTGGAAAGAGCAGTTACATTGTCAGCCTGACATAAATTTACCGCAGTATGTGATTCATTTGCTTTTTCCCATTAATTCACATTCATGAGTCCTACTACAAACCTCGTTGTGGACATGATATTAAGTACTGGGAGCTTTACACCTTAGACTGCTCAACTTTTTTTTTTTTTTTTTTTTTTGGGGGGGGGGAGGTAAACAACGAAGATAAAATACAATTTTTTGTTATTAAAAGACAAAGTACCCTTTACAGTAGTGCTTCACTTCTGTTTTTTTTTCCATATGGTGCTCATGTTCTATGAACTTCCTTCTTTCTCCATTAACGTAAATGGGGAGTTGCATGTATAATTGAAATGTGACTAGTGATCTATTGGTTTCTGTATCTTTTTTCAAGTTTCCTTTTTTTTTTTTATCAATAACAGAATTTTTTCAAGTTTCCTTCCTTTCTGTATCTTTGTATACTCTTATCCTTATGTACCTGCTCCTCTAATGCAGTTTTTTGGTCTGGTTACTTTCAGGTGCTTGCAAAGCTCGAGAAGTTTAAGAAGTCTTTATCTGCAAAATCCAGCTTACTAGGTAGCAAATCTGGGGAAGGTAATGACGAGGATGTATCTGGGTGGAAGGCACATCAGTTGAGTTTTCCACGCAATCCTTTTGAAAAGGTAAAGCTTCATTTGTTAGTCCCTCTCAAAGCCAATTTTTGAGTTATTCTTTTTAACATGCTCTAACAAAATCTGCAAGTTACACTTACACAGGATAGCATGGACCGGAAGGATGATCCAAATGAGTATGTGGTGCATGACCCTCTTCTCGAGAAGGGGAAAGAGAAGTTCAACAAGATGCAAGCCAAGCTAAAGCGCAGAGAACGTGAATGGGCTGGCAAATCGCTTACCTGATTTCAGCCTTAACAATATTGAAGATGTTTTATGTGTAAAAACAATCAAATTCGGATGCAGAGTTGCCGACTGTAAATCCTTCCAACACCTACCATGGCGTACATATTAATCTAATCGGAGAATATTTTAATTATAGATTGCTGACCAGTTGATTTGGATGGCTTTCCTATGTTCACTAATCACTAATCACCCACCAAAAACAAAACTGAAAGAAAAAAAATAGTTGATTCACAAGGTATGTGTATATTTTCGTACTGGTTCAACGGTTCATGAAGGTAAATTATTTAGGTTCTGCTTGTTTGCAGTACAAATCTGAACCGGATACAAATTTTGCATCCGTTGGTTTCTAACTATGATTTGCGCTTTACCTGATACAAAATATGTACTTTGTTTCATTTGCACTCACTGACGGTGCAYATTGCAAGCTTTGCACCACTTTACTTTTACGGTTTTACCTCAAATCACTCATATAAAGTGGGGAAACTTTACTTCCTGTTCCAAAACAAGTAACCCTTCTACCTCCATTGAAGCACAAGCACAAACAACAGCAAAGAAAACATCCATCAAGCTACTCCGCAAACAAAACTCAATCGTCTCTCTATTTTCAAGGCTTCTGCCATTAATGGCGAATGAGGCTACGAAAGCTCCACATACAGCCCACCAAGAAACACCTTCAAAATCTCTTGCCAGAAAACCAAACG